GGAAGCTTTTCGTATGTTTGTATACATTTCACATTTTCTTCATTTGTTTAAATTAGTTTTTCTAGTTTTCTATATAATTATTTAATATAGCATAACTAGAAAATAAATGAAACTATATTTTTATAATTAAAAAATCTACAGCAATAAATTCGAAATGTAAAAATATATAAATCCATATTTTTGCTTTAAATTCATAGCTTTTATTTAGGTTATAAGACAGAGTATACAGTTTGCAACAAGAATTACTGAATTTTCAGCTCGTTTCACTGCCTTTATTTTCTTGCCCACTCGCGCAAGGAACTACTGAAATGATGTAAACAAATTTCAAGGAAAACAATTTGGATAATTACATTATTTTGATGGAGAGTTACAGTTATTACGGCGGTGGCCATGAGGGACTTAGGGGCGTGGCTTTGGTGGGATGCCGGTGATGAGCTGCCGAGATCCGCTGTGTGGTCGCTTATGACTGGCAATGGGATAATTGCAGGACTGCCGGATTGCACGGCATGCAAATGAGCCCGGGTACTTAACCCTGAGTCGGTACCAATCATAAAACACATTTGCTTTAATTATATGCGAGGCCAATCTGGAGAATTCCGACATTGTCTTAAAGCCCAAGCCGAATTGCATTTTGGGGCCGGCTTACATTTATAGCCTGGCTATAACCGCAGGCTGCCTGCCAGCAACAAAGTGGCATTTTCATAATGGGAAACCGAAACCGAGGCGCTTCCACTTGGCCAACTTACACCTGACCGGCTGGCCAAACAGCCTGGCCTCGATTCAATTGCAGCTTCAATTTATACAATTATTATTATAAGCCATGGCCTGCCACGCCCCCATGAAGGCATCGCTTCGGCCGTAACGCCTACGGGCGATGGCCAGGCAATTGAAATTGATTTGCCCAAAATGCTCGGTGAAAATTGCCGGGTTTGGGGCCGAAACAATTTCCCAGCATTTACATAATTTTCCTTTGTTGCAACGGCTCTGAAACTGAAATTGTAAACTCTGGATCTGGCTGGCATCTGCGGTTTTCCTCCCGGGCCCGTTACGCTTGTGATTTTTCCAATGAATATCGTTAGCATTTCATTAAGAGGCGGCGATATTGCGGTTGCCCCGCTGCCAGCGCTCCTAATCGTAAATATTTCGTGTAAATATTTATACATTTGTTGGACTTCTTGTTCGGGGGCAAACGGAACGCATAAACATGTCGATAAAGAATCCCGGAGCAGGTTCTCTCATCCGCTCCCCTTGTGTTTTTGGGTTTCGGAGACTGGACACTGGAGACTGGACACTGGAGACTGGAAAGTGGGGATTGGGGATTGAGTATTGGGGATCAGAGATCGGAGATCTGGAATCTGGGATCACAAAGCTTGCAGTTGGTATCTTGCCGGTTTTGATGTGCCTCCTGATTTTGATGAACTCTTGGCATCCGCTGGATATTCGTTTCCATTTCGCCTTTGTTCCAGCTACCCGACTATCCAGCTGCGGTCCCGACTTTGATTGTCTTTTAATTAAACGACGGGCGAACAATAAAAAATGCTCCAAACTGGTTTCATTAATTTTCAAAGCCCTCTCCCCCGGTGCAGTGTAATTTAGGTTCCCACTGCGCTATATCTTCTATACTATACTATATACCTGTCCCTCGGTCGGTTGTTATTTGCTTTATGGCTGTCAAATTTGCGGCTTATCAGGCGCTTTATCTAGATCTCAACCTGTCGTCGTTGTTGTCCCTCTGTCAATAGCCACGACTTTATATTGGTCCGTGGAGTTCCATTTCCTTGGCTTATCTTATTAGAGCAAACGAAAATGCAATTCACTAAATACTCGGAAAAACCTTTAATTGGATGCAGGCCGTCTGATAAAGTTACTTTTGAGTGGGCAAGCTGCAGCTGATAAACTTGGAATTTACTTAGTTGCGAGTTTGGTTAGTTAAAAGTTTCCAGTTTTTGGAGGGTTGCAGTAACACGTTGATGGTTCACTCGAATTTTAAAACGGTTGCTTTAAAGGTGAATTCTGGGAATAAATTTACATTTTTTTAGAGGAATAACATACACTCTTTTATAGGTGTTAAAATCGCTCAGTTAGATTCTAGAGCCGTTTATTAGTCGTTAGAGTTTTTAATAGCAGAAAAGTACTTAATAGGTTTTTAATTGGTTTTTTATTTCGATTTAATCGTTTCTATTATTATCTAGGTCTGTGTTGTTTTAATACTATGCATTTGTTACTTCCTACAAATATCCCTAGCAAAAATAATTCGTTGGTGTATTAGGTACCCATTTTAAATTATTCTTCTGTTTGAGTTACTTGATTGCCTGTCGCCTGGCTCGGAATTCCTGCCCACCTCTGTTTAATTTGATGAAAATTAAAGTCACGCCGTTGATATAATTCCACTCCATTATGTGACAAGACAACTCGACGATCCGAGTTCTGTTCCTCCACCTTCATCGTTGGTATTTGCGAGATTTGTTGTTGCTGCAGTCGTTTACCTTAATTCGCCTGTCCAAATTGCTATTTATATGCAGCGCCCTCGCTTTTAATTTGCAGCGCAAATCACGAGCAGCCCCGCCAGCCACCGATCCTACACTATATATCTATATATTCGTACATATGTATATTTGGAGGGTATGGCAGTAGGTTCACCTACTCCTCCTGCAATCGAAAAACAAAATCAACAGGTGGCGCGCATATTTCAACATGCGGCTGCCAAGCGAACCGAGCGAAATATCAATAAAAATGCCATTTGTTGCGATTGTGCACGGAACGGAGTCTCGAAGACTGGGGAGCTGGATCTGGGCAACTGGGCAACTGGGGACCCAAAGTCTTCGGGCTGAGAACCTCTGGCAGCCACACATAGATAATTTCCCCAGCAACCTGGTCTTTTGATGATATTTCTGCTCGGTGTGTCTTTTTTTTTGGCTTCGCTTAATTTATTGGCCACACTTTGCTGCTGCTGCTCTTGCTGTTGCTGCTTTTAAACGACAAGTGTTGCAAATAAAAAGGAAAAATTAAAGCGGTGCAAATTAGAGGTGGAGAGGGAAAAGCGGAGGTAAACGATGGAAAACCAAAGGTGACGTCAACACCAGAGGGCCGGAGAAAAAACGTGTTTGCAGCTAAAAACTATTAAAAAAGCACCCAGATTGCAGTTGTTTTGCTCGTGGTGCGGGGCAAGTGACTTGGTCGCGGTGGCTTAATAAAGGCAGCCAGGTTTAGGGTTAACATCCCAGCGCCAAAGGCCAAAAGTGCTGGCCAATGCAAACAAACAAACAAAAAGCGTTGCTGCTGTTGCTGCTGCTCAAGCACGCCAACAACATGTGTACTTGCTGCAAAAAGTCCAAAATGAAGACATGAGCCAGAACCAGAAAGCCGGTACACCAGCGGCAGCAACAGCAGAGTCGACCTTCTTTTGTGAGGCCCAGCTGCATAATTGCTATGGCAACCCAGCTAACGAGTTGGGGTTGCAAGTTGCAAGTTGCTAGTTGCTAGTTGCCGGGGGACAAGTGGAGACCTCTCTCAGCTGACAGTTGAGAAATTAGAACGGTTTTTGTCTTCCAAATCACATGCACGTGTTGCTCTAGTCCCCGGCAGTTGCTGTCGTCGTTTGTTGGCCGCATCCTCGAATGATTGGCGGCTGTTGCAGGTTGCAGGTGCGTGCTGCAGTTGCTGCTCCTACCCAAATCGCTGCTGTTGCAAGTTCCTGTTGTGTAAGGTCAGGCTGCAGCCAAACCCCATTTGGGGCGAGCTTTATCAATTTCGGTTTATTTTCTACACTTACTCTGGGTAAATGCATTTTTAATAGGAGCTTGGAATTTTAAAAAGATCTTTCCAAGAATCCCAAACATTTATTTAAGTGCTTTCAATTTGTAATTCAAGGTTTTTACCAATATTCCCACACAATGAAGATCATTTTTATTTAGATAAATTATTCTATTGTCATGTCAAAAGAAATATGATTGGAAGCTTTATTTTTTTTAAATATTTATCAATAAGTGTAATACTTTTCTTGCTTAGCAAACTAACTAAAAATGTATCAAGGCTTATACCTCTCAAAAACATTTTAGTATTTATGCCTTATTTAAACAGATTTTCGGATTTTCCCAAAAGTGTATTTCAAAGTATGTTCTTTTTTAGCTTTTATTTTCTACGCAGTGAATATCCTCCAAATGATTTTAATGTCTGTTTGCCTGTGCAAATCTTCATCTTTGTTGCAGTTGTTTGTGTTGCTGTTACAGCTTGTTGTTGCTGTGGCATGGTTTGTCTTAAAGTTAAGGTCTCTCCCCATGAGTTGCATATTCGATTACCGCGTAGGTGGACATTGGCACAAGTTGTTGCTTTTGCTGTTGTGATGTTGCTGGTGGGTTCGTTTGTTGCCGTACGTGATTGCGGGTTGTTGCCGTTGATTATTGCCTTCGCGGCACGCATATAAATCTCGGTGTTTAAATCTCGAGTTAAACTTGTAAATTAAAACCTTAATGAGTCTATGGAGTGGGTCCGTGTTTAATGCCACGCTGTGCAACATGGCCAGGATGCTGAGAAACGAGCAGGGGTGTGATTTATGCCGCTCACGAGCACTTTAAGGCACATACCTGGGTCTGTGTGTTCTAAGAGAATTGCGAAATACCTCCCAATTGATTCTCCCTCCCCCACAGTTGCGAAAAATAGCGTGTTTGTTTCCTTTACGATCGCCAGCAATTAGTTGGCGGCAATCACATGCAAGCCACTCACACTTACATTCACCAATGAAATCCCACAACCGATGGCTTTCTGTTGATTTCCCTGGCTAATTAATGCCCAGTGAATATTCTCACGCTTGGCCAAGGAAAGAACACGGGAAAAAAGACAACCGCAGAACATGTTCTCCATCGGCTGACCAACAAAGTGTAACAATCTCCGGCTTCCTCAATTTAATTTGCATATTTATGTTTGCCTGCCCACGAGTTGATTAATTTCCGACCACTAGCTCGGGCGCTCAGATTGAGATGATTGCATAATTATTTAATTACCTTATAAATAATACTTTTCAGGCGAAGAGCCAGCTCCTTGTGTCCTCGGCAACAGGTGTCCCGTTCACTTCCAAAGGTCACAGGCGTAAATCAATTAATTTTCGTATATTTCGAGGCACAAATGTTGCTGCTTTGTTTGATTTTCTTTTTCGTAAACACTTGTTTCGCAATGCCTTAAATTATGCACACACACTTTTAACTGTTACGAAATAGGCTGCAACTTTAATCCGCCTGCCAACCTGTCTCTTTGTATTTGCGATATTCAACCGAAACTAGCAACACAGCACGGTGTGACTGCTGCGATGTTGCTCTTACTCCGACGACGACGTTCGCTTCCGCTGACTCAACGCAAACGACTAAAAAAGGCCACATAAATTTTGATGCACATTCAATAGGCCAGACCAGGCATTCAGCTGGCAGCAGCGGCAGCAGCAACACACACCAGCAACACACACCAGCAACAGCAACAGTCACACCAGCAACACCAACCAGTTTCCTTCCATTCACACGGACATTGTTTGTGGATCGCAAGTGGCAAGAGTGGATTCCACTTTCCAGCTTCCACATTCGCCCCGTTTACGACTTGCCAGCGGTTTGTTATCTTTTATGATAAGGCTTTAGAACCGCTTTTTACGACCTGAAGCTTCATAATTTTTAATGCCCACTTCTGGGAGCCGCCTGAAATTGATAATTTCCACTATTTCTTCAAATGCTTGTGCCTCGCCTGACTAACTAATTAATTGATGGCTCAATTAGGGTTAGTGCTCCTCGAATGGATAGTTATAGTTAGGAGCAGCTTCAGATGGTCGCTTGATTTTTACGATTGCCGGCAAACATCTTACTGCCACGCCATTCAGTATTTGCGGTGAAGTTGTACTTAAGAAGCGGGTTAAGATGAGTTTGAATGTCTAACTGATGATTAATAAGTGGGTAATCAGCTGAAGTGGCAGTCATTCGAAGGAGATTTGTGGTACTTCAAGAATCCGGTTGAACTGTTAAGATGTTTATTTTCATTAAAAATATTGCTTATTTTAATGACCAAAGTTCTTAATTAAGTCGTGATTAAGAACAATAACAATATGTATAATAAATTAATAATTTAATAGCTTTGCTGGGGAATGTTCAATTATAAAATATTTTTCTTTTAGCATTTAACATCCATTGAACAAACCAAAAATTAAAATATTTTTCATAAAATGTAGTTAGTACTTATGCTACCTTTGTTTTCTCCCTCGCCAGACGTTAAAAGAAAATCACTGCAGTGAAAAGTTCAGGACTTTAACTGTTAACTAAAGTGGCAACTTTGTCTTTCGCGAGTCACCACGCCCCCAACCCGCCCATTGGCCCATTGACGCGGCAAAAAATTAATTAAAAATGCATTAAAAATGTTTCCCTTTCGCATTTCCGACTCGGGAACTCCGCTTTTCGCCCCGTTTTTCTTGAACTCAGCCCCATTGCTGCTGAAATGCCAATCGCAGCTGGCAAAAGGCGCATACAGCAAATACTGGCGAGGAGCAACAACAACAACAGTGAATACCGCGAATACGAACCGAGATGGCAGCAAATCTTTTCTCCACTTTTGCACAACTCCAAAGTATTTACAAGCTTCAGTTGGCAGTCGCATCTAAAAATGTTTGGCATTTGCCAACACGCACCAATGAATAAGTGAGCTCAAGGGGGGAGGAAAGTTGGAACGGGAAAAGCGGTGGAAAATCTGCGGAAAAGAGGTGAGGTAAGTGAAAATGTTTGAATTTCAAACGAGCTCATTTCTAGCGTGCGTCGCAGCATTTCGAAAATGATTTGCAATGCGGTGGGTGGAGGCGGGAGTGGCAGTGGGTGTGGGGACCTTGCCACAGGGATTGGCAGGAAGTGCTAGGCGGTTTTGGGACGGCTCCTCCCGCTGTTAGATGAACTCCAGCGACCAGGCAAGCGGAACGATCCGGAGAACGCGGCAGACGGCGTGACTTGGATGAGTTATCGCCGCGACCACGCGTGAGTCTTCCAAATGGGCACTATACATTCATGCACAGAGAGAAAACTAGCAGTAATATGGGCGAATATGAATTTGTTGTGCTTTGGCACATGACTTCGTAACCGTATAGTCAAAGTTTATAATCCTCTTTCTGGCATTTACACCTACTTAAAATTAGTTTTACTCGTATTTATAAGTATTTTAGGGCTTTGTATTATTTGTACTTTATATTTCATCTATTAGAGTTTTAACTGCATGTATACATGCATTTTCTATGCTTTTCTTAGCTTTTAAATACAAAAAAAAAGTGGTTAGAATATTACTATAAGTAGATTTGTTAATGCATTCAATTTAATCTGTGATTAAAATGGCAGTGATTTAATAAAAATATTACAAATTTAATAAAGATCATGCTAAATTTCCCTGAATGAGTGTTATTCTTTGTATAAAATATACAGAGCCCAGGAATTTTGGGGAAATATTTTCTTTGTGCACTCATGTGTGCGTGTGGGTGTTCGCCTGGGCTGCCTGCTGTGTAAACAAAAGGCGGCCATAAAACTGCAACAGTTCTCATAATTTATGACAAGCGGAAAAAGTGAGTTGACTGATAAGCAACTGGACATGTTGGCACTTTAACGAGAGCAAACGGGGTTTTCTCATTTGAGAGGTGGTTTGAATTGTGGTTCCTAAGTCAGAAGCAGCAACATCTTCAGAAGAACTCACGAGCAGGAGCCGAACCCGAACACGAGACTCGGTTCTAGGTGCGGATGTTGCTACTAGTGCTGTTGCTGGTGGCACGCGGTTTAGCGCGCCACAAGTCGCCAGTTGCTACTGTTGCTGTGCGCCGCATCACTTGGCAGCGTGTTTTTTGTCGCCGCCGACGTCAGCAGCAATTGCTGCTGTTGGCGACACCAGCAACATGTCGCTGGTCTGCCTGCAATTCCAGCTGAGGTTCTGAGTTGGTTGCCAAGAGGCAATTTTGGGCGGGCAAAAGGGGGAGGCACCAGGTGTGGAGGAGGCTAACCAGTTTTGCGGGAGAAGATTGAAAATGTGCTTGAAATAAAGGTCGCCTCTTAGTTTTTTAGAACTAGTTCTGCCAGATGAATGAGCATTTCTCTAATAGCACAAAATGTGAATTATCAAAAAAACCATTTTGGGTACGCTCGTTTGTTTTTTGTATCTGCCTAAATGAAATATATTAAATAATATAAAAACTATATATAAACTATGTTTCTTATTTCTTAAATAAAGTTCTGACTTTCGAAAGATTATTTTAACCTAAATATAATAGATCAAATAAATAAAAAATATGTAAAAAGGTAAATTGTAAATAATAGAAATTATCGAACATTGATGTTTGGCTTAAAATGGTTTAGGTTAAGATACAAAAAGTAAATGAATAAGTGCAACAAAAACCATAAAGGTAAGTTTTCAAAAGACTTAATTAATTCTTTTTTAAAATTAGAAATTCAAGTCTCTTTTCTTACCAATTAGTTTTAGGCCCTAGAATGTGGGCTTTGAGCTAAACTGCTAATTATCCAAAAATGTTAATGATCGCTCGTTCGCTTTGATTCTCCTGCTAATGAAGTTCCCCCACTGTGTCCGTGTTCCCTGCCACGACTGCAATTTGACGTGTGCTTAGACAAACCGAGATCTGGCAATGACAACTGATTTATGGTGTTCACTTCGCGGCGAGACTCCAGTTTTGAGGTTTGTGCCGGCAATTTGCATGTGTAATTGCCTCGCTTCGTTTACATCTTGCGAAGCTTCAATCCCACAATCCAATCCCATGGCCCGTTTTCCGTTCTCCGTCCGAGACCCATTTCGATTCCCATTCCAATTCCAGTTCCAATCGCACTGTCATTAGTTGGCGTAGTTTTTGACAGCTCGAAGTGGCCCTGGTGGTGCTGGTGGTTCGTTTATGACATTCGCTGGCTAATTGCCGGCACTGAATAACTGCAAACGTTATACGTCATACGCCCCGTGGGCGGGGCTCGTGCACTTTAAAAACGCATTAAACAGCGACAATAAATGCGGCAAGAAAAGGGTAAAGTTGGGCTAAAGGAAAACGAGAACAGCCCGAAAGTGGCACTTGCAACATGTATGGGGCGTGCCCATATTATGCATCTGAAGATGACTGGTGTGCGGGAAACGATTAATGAACACTGCGCAGAGTTTGAAAAATGTGAAGATTCAATTAATGAGCAGCAAAAGGGGGAGAGAATGGAAGTTTATAAAGAAAGACTTCCAGAAGCACTTCATTTAGTATTTTACAGCTAATATTTGTTTAATGCTGTAGACACATATACAAACAAATATGGAGAGCCAATAACACTTATTTAAAAAATAGCATTTTTTATATTTTTTAACTTTGAAATTACTTGGTTCTATTAATGGATCACAAATTTGTATGATTAAAATTTTATAATTCCTAAATTTTTGTTTTGAAAAGCTCTTTTAAATATAATTAACTATAATATTGAAATCACTTAAACATAATATTTTATTGATAAAATTGAAAAAAATATCTAGAAATGTCATCAATACATTATTATTGGCAAAATAATTTAAATGATTATATATAAATATATAGGCCAGGTTTACATCTTTAGTTTTATTCCTTGATATTAGGTAATTTTGAAAATTTAGGTGTTATACAACATTTTTCTGAGCAAATTTAATATTTTAAGCTTTCTTAAACTTAATAAATGTATTTTTTCTTTGTGGACTTATCTGCAGTATAACACTTTTACCTGCTGATTGTTGGCCAAGATAAGATCAAAGATCACTGAGCAAGTTAAACTCTCGGAAGCATTCGTGTTGCCATTGTGTTGATGCTGTTAGCTGCTGCTGTTGGTGTTGTTGGTGTTGCTGCTGTGACTGTGACTTGTGTTGCTCGTGGCACGCGCGTTGCTCCTGTGCAGCAGGTCAAAAGCGTGCAGAGCTAAAAACGGTAGCCATGATAAATGTGGCCCAAGCAATCTGCGACTTCTTGTGCCTTAAATTGTTGCTCCGGTGTCAAAAGTTGTTGCTGTGTCAAGTGTTGCTGCTGCTGTTTCGACCATTGTTGCATCTAGGGATTGCTGCTTCCCCCTGCTAATGTTGACAATTTAGCACAAAATTTGTATGCCATGTTTTTAAGAATTCGCAACGCTTTCATGCAACATTTGCCGGGGCAATTAGTTGTGTTTATAATTGGGGACGTGATTGCCGTGGTGTCTTCAAGTTTTTTGTGTCCCCTCTTGGGGTTGCAATTTTTTTTGGGCGAAACGTGTTTGAACGCTATAAATCAATTTGGCGCAGGGCCGTCGAAGGATGCATGCATAAATTCGTACAAATTTCTGCCATAACGAATGGAAAATGCTCTTGAAATATATTTTAACTAAATGTGTTTACAAAGAACAAAATATCATTCATAATAGTTAGCTTACAT